AACCGAAATTTAAATGTGTGAACAACAATTTAACAATTTTGAATTTTGAAAGCACTTAAGTTTAAAGAAAAAAAAAATACTACGACGGACAGGATAGACACAATAAACAAAGGGGGGAGGATGCGAGATGGCGATTGGTGCAGAAATGCAGTGTTGCTGGCCACTGGTCACCTCTGCACGTTCTCCGACCTGTCCCCGCGGGTTGACGAGTGTCCCTGGCGCGTTTGCTCGGACGCTTGACGACCTTGCCCAGCCGGCGAGGCCAGACCGAGACGGCCACGGGAGCGACCACGGTTGAAGGCGACGGACGGCTGCTAGTGCGCGATGTCTTGCGCGTACCGACGGTCGACGGCGTGACGACTCGGCCGACGGACGGCGAAGACCGAGACGCGGAGCGAGCGAAGTGAGATTCTGTGTTGCGGAACCGGTGGGGACGACCGAAGCGGCCGACTTGGGATTACCGCGGGGCGAAAAGGCGAAAGCCAGCGGACCACAGCGTGATCCTCGACTCTCGGTAATTTTCGCCCTGGCGTCGTCCCTTCGGCCGCAACGCGCCGCCAGACCCTGAAACGGTTAAGTTTCTGCGAGTCTGGCGCCGCTGACGTCCCCGTGTTCCTAGCACGCAAATCTCCGCACCACTCACCCCGTGCCCAGGTATCCGCCGCTGCCGTCGTACCGAGTCGCCATCGCCGTCGCACCGAGTCGGTGTACCGTCGGGGCGGAATCGTTGCCCGGTACCTCTATACTAGCCGCCGTGCCGTCACCGTCCACCGTCGCCGTCGCTCCGCGTGACCGTGACTGCGGTCGGGCGCTCGCCGAGCCGCCAGAGGGTCTCGCGCGTCATCGACGACCGAGCTCGCCACGCCAGCTAACCCGTCGCGCCGCTGGTGCAGGTCGGAGAACGTGCGCGGGTGACTTACCGCCGCGCACCGTCCGTGCTCTTTCCCGCATCCTCCCCTCCATTCCGTCGCCGTCTTCCTGTCCGCCGTCTTCGCCCAGCTTCGGACGTCTCCTTATCGGCGGCAGAAGCAGCAAAGGCCGCGGAAGAAGCGCCTCAGGCTCTTCCACCTCTTTGGAGGCGCCTTGCCGTCTTCCCGTACAGTCGTGTCTTGGTCGCCGCTCGGCATTCCTCCACCGTACGAGGAGACGGTCATCTCGACGCCTTCAGCTGCCGACGCCTCTCCTGCTGCACCTCCGAGAGTCGAGTCTCTGGACTCCGACTCCAGGGTCTGCACGTCACCAGTGGTGGTGACCATGTCAATGGCATACAGGATGGGCGCGACCAGACGAACGAGATATTCTTCCGTCTTATCGGCAAGTGCTCCTTCTATTTTGTCCGCAATAATGTCCTCCAACATTTCCATTAGTAACACGTTTACCGCTGCGCGGTCGATGTCGCAGTTGTTAGTTGCCATACTTTATAAGTTTTGAATATCGAAAATAATTTTTGCGTGTATTTTAGGATTCGATCGAGAATTGGTAATGAGCTAAATAAGAATATTTCAACACATAGACCGATCTCCGAGAAAATCTCCCAGACGACGGTGTGTGTTACTAGCCAGCTAGTATGTTTATCGTTCTGGTCGGCCCGCAGCATTAGAATTTCGAGCGCGTTAACAATAGTAATATAATAACAATTTTATTTTATTTGCAAACAATTTTTTTTTATATTTTTATATTTTTTTTTTTTTTTGTGTCTGTCATCACGTTTTAGGACAGTAAAAGTGCTTGGATTTTATTCATCAATAGCTTTTCTGATAGGAAAGTGAATCTAGTTGGTACTTTGGGGGGTCAAAAGTATAAATTTTCCAGTAGTTTTCACAAGCGCCGGGAAAAACAACATAAAAATTAAGGAAAAACGGGAATTTTTACGCAAAATTGGTCTACCAAAAAATCGATTTTGGTTATTGGTGTAACTCTAAAACAAATGAACGTATATACATGAAATTTTCACTGGTTGTTTATATTTGCAATTTCTATACACCATACAATTTTGAAAATATTTTGATTTATTTTGAACTGTTTAGGGACATTTTCATTTTCCATTTTTTTTAGTTTTTTTTCTAAAAATATCAATAAAATTTTATTTGTTGGTTGCGAAAGCTTGAAAATTTAATAGAAGGCTCCTAATATATTGTTTCAAAGGCAGATGAAAAATATTAAAAATCCTTAGTCACAATTTTTTTTATAGGCATTTAAAGTTCAAAAATTGACAAAATATGGAAAAATCACGAAAATTAGCAAATTATTTTGAGTTCAGAATTCGTAAAAATTTTTCTTTTTAAATCTAAGATTTGAAAATGAAACACAAGATTCCTTATCAGATTATCTACCTTTGGATTTTCACTCGATTACTCATGTAGCGATTTCCTTATTTTGTTGCAATTCAAAAACGAATAACTGTAGATACATGAAAATTTCACTGAATGTTTAAATTAGCATTTTCTATACACCATACAATTTTGAAAATATTTTGACTCTTTTTGAGCTGTTTATGGACATTTAAAGCTTTCAATTTTTTTTAGTTTTTTTTTTCTATAAATATCAATAAAGTTTTATCTGTTGGGCCAAAAAGTGTAAAAATTTAATACAAGGCTCCTGATATATTGTTACAATAGCAGTTGAAAAATATTAAAAATACATAGGCACAGTTTTTTTTTATAAGCATTTAAAGATCAAATTTTGACAAAATTTATCAAAATCTCGAAAATTATCAATCATTGTAATTAATAAATTATAAAATGTTCAGTTTTTATAGCTAAGGATTGCAAATTCAACACAAAGGTTCTCGTAAATAGTTCATACTGTAACCAAAAAATCTAAAAAATATATGAACACAGTTATTTTTTACAGACATTTTAAATTCAAATTTGGACGAAATTACATATTAAAAAACCTAGGATAACTATTTTAGTTATTTTGTTGTGATTGAATAATATTATTCGTGGGTACTTGAAACTTCTAAAGTGTACTATTATATATCTATGATAGCATCACAGTTTTTGTTGATGTATAACGCGTTACCAGTACCTAATGGATATTGTGATATGATTAATTTGGAATTTATTATAGGTACCTATTCCTATTATAGGTCAATTTTTTGTTTAATACCATATACATGTGTATAATATGTCTTATACATAGACTGACATACCGTCTCCGCTCAGAATCGTTTTTCTTATACAATGATATTATATCGTTGAATTCAAATTTAATATCATCCATTATACAGTGACCCACTTGTAACCTACTGTACAGCAGAGCGACACCCACTTGCCCAACTTTTTTATTTTATTTTATTATTTTAGTTGATTGACTTCAATAATTAATTTAATTAAAATGACAAAAGTAAAATGTTCAACGGTGAGTCAAAATAATTGTTTTTCCAGATTAAAGAAGTCCAAAACAATCAGTTCTGTCTATAAAACTTTTTTACGGTTCTTTAAAATTTCTATTATCATCCATACCAAATTTATATTGTAATTTATACCAAAATAATTGCTTAAAAAATAAATGGTAATGGCATTATTTAGAATTTTTAGGGCATAATATAAAGGTATTTTTTAAAGGTATTATTCGGGGTTTTTAAGGCATTCAATTTCCAGTCCTACAGGAAATAACTATAGTTGTTATACTAAAAAAAATTTAATAAGATTTTTAAACTGGCACATACGAAAACTGTACACCAACCAAAAATAAATATATAAAATATTAATTATCTGGCTAACATAGAGTTCAAACAGGAAGGTGTAAAACGCCAACTACCTAATTACCTATACCTACATAATATTAGTATGTATGAGTTGCCAGTGCGAAGCCTGGAAAAAAGTATGAAGGCACTAATCTTATGCATAGGCACAAATAGCGTTTGGGATTTGGGGGGGGGGCTAAAACCTTACTTTGATAAAATTGAATAAGCTTAAAACAAAATGTAGGAAATATTTGGGGAAGGGGGCTATGAATATTTTTGGGGCTTAGACCCTAAAGCCCCCCCCCCTACCTGAGCCTATGATCTTATGATAATTGTTGTTTTTTATGCACAAATCCAAATTTGCCATTGGCCATTTTTATATTAATTTTTTTTTTCAATCCTTCAAATATTTAAATATCCTAATACAGTTATTTGCATTATCAGCATTTTATAGGTGTAACATAATATTTTGTAATATTTAAATACAATTAACAATTTTCCCACACTTTGATAATGAATACCTATGTTTTTCTAATTGCGTATCGTATTACTGCGCAGTTTGTAGGAATATACCTATACGCACGGCACTACGGCAGGAACTTAAAAATGTCGTACTTAGTTAAACTACAACTTACTCCCTTATTTTTTGCCAGTATAGTATACACTGTATGTACCTATACTGGCTATACTTTACACTAACATCAAGAAATTGAATAAACCTAATCCGAATAACATATTTTGGCTTATCTCATTGCGTACTTCACTGCTGTGCAATATTTACGAGTAAAGTCCAAGTTAAACCCTGAAATAGTTGTGTTAGGCTATTATGGATTTCATGGGTGAACGGTTTAATGTATATCATATGAATGTAATTTGAATAGGTATTCATAATTTAAGCAAGAGAAGGAGGTGATTATATGTTTTAAAAATTATCCTGAATGTGTACAAATGCACATTAGTATACCATCAGAACCTTGTAGATAGAATACATTTAAAAATAGACATACCAGTATTAATATAATAAGCTGTTATTTACTTAATTTAATGAAAAATAGCGATCAATCCATAACTTAGAAAGTATCTACATAAATAGCTCAATTTAATTTAATTTGATATTCAGTAGGTAATAGGTACAATGTATATAGTAAAAATGATTTCTAATGATTGAATCATAATAATAATGATTAATGATTACATAATGATTATAAACTCAAATATTCAAGTCTCCATATCATGTAAAACAGTGACTCCAAAATTGATCCCTAAATGTCCGATGACTACATATTGTATTTCTGCGTAATTTGATCAATTATTTTTTTATTATAATAGGTGTATTTGTTTTATGGCGGTGTACAATTATTTCCAATATTAAAACTGTGAAAGAAATGATAAAACCGATGATCAGAAAAGCTATGAGTGATGAAACGTCTTTAATTTCTACGCTAACCAAAGATTCTTCGGTTGTTGTTTTCCCAGCTGTGCATTTCGGTTTTTCAGCATGCCATATACGGAGTTCCCTTTCCATAAGACCAGTTTCCCGTAAAATACAATTTCTGAAAAATTATATATATATGGAGGTATGTCGTTAATTATTTTTTCATTTCCTGACGAAACATTATTCACAACAATATAATATTACGCATAATTGATCAATTTTCTGTACGGAGATTCCTTCCGAACCAAGTAACCTGTAGTTTCCGGTCTGTGGAGTGGCAATTCCTTTAAATCACATTTTTCCTTTTCAGTGAAAATGTCGTTTATTAGCCAATAACTGGTGGCCGGATCGGTGAAAAACGCATAGTGACCTTTTTTTATTTTTTTCACCCCATCTTTAGCCAACAGATACTCAGATTTCGGTTTAATTTTATTGTCGATAATTTTTTTCAAGTACGGATTGATTTCCCCGTATACCTATTTACGCACATATGTTCAAAAATTATCCTATTATATAGGTTTACAATATAAATAATACTTAATGTACATTTCAATCATGAGAGTATATAATATGAACGTACTTCTATCACTTTAGTAGCAACGTTGAAATCTTCAACGCCAACGTCCAATCCGCTTTCTTCAAGTTTTTGAACTGAATCGATGTTTATAACGGTCGGACGCAATAATCCAGAGACAATACTCGATGAGTAAAACTGATACATAACCAAACTGAATACGAACATTAAAAGGACAATTAGCCTATTGCTAAGTTTTGTAGGTTCCATGGCTGTTCCTAAAAACAAAGTGTATTGAATAAAAAGCTTCAAAAATACATTTCAATAATAAATATATATGGAAAAATTGGTACTGCTCTGCATCTTATAGGTGTTGAAGTTGTTTCAAACATTTTTATGAATTTCCAACTAGAAAATAATTTGCAAATTTTTGCGATTTTGAGGCAATTGGTCAAAATTCTAACTTTAAAAGCTGACTTTTTTGGTAAAATAACAATTTAAACTTTTTTATTGACATTTAAATAAATAAAAACTAAACAATTCCAAAAACGCCAATTAAATATATACATATTAAATATAAATATTTCAAAAAGCGTCAGAATGTTGCAAACATTTTTTTGCGTGTGCATATTATAATGCTAATATAAACATTTGGTGAACATTTTAAGTATTTACTCAAGTATTTTTTAGTTACAGCAAAAAAAAAAATCAATATCGATTTTGTCAAAAACTGGTTTGACCTCTCAAAAGTACCAACTAAATCTAATTACCCGAAACCACCACTAATGTTGAAAATTGAAGCATTATTTCTATTATAAATAGTGAAAAGATAAAAAAAAACACATCTCACTGTAAAATCAATACATATTTTATTGCTCTACCAGTAATTATAGATAATAGAATAGAATATTATAGTATCTAATACTTATATTGTAATACTATGAGTATATTACCTTGTTGACATAACGTGCCAATTTTTAGTAGGACAATATCACTTAATACTCTCAACGAGAACATTTGATTCGATTCATAATGCATAATTATACAATAAACAAATCCAGATAATATGAGTACACATATTATTGAAAACCAAACAGCCGTTTCAAATGGACGCAAGAATATGTTCGTTGACGCCGTAGACGATCGAGGATGACGGAAGATGAAGCAAGGCCTTTAACAAAGAAAAAACTTAATATCCAATAATATTGTATTCAGCTTAAAATGTATAAATACAGTACGTTTGGTTGACAGTTAAACTAACACGAATCTATTTAGTTAATTTACATACAAATGTTTCCAAGTAGAAATAGCAGAGTAATCGACGACATCATATCTTTCAGACCTCAGTGCATTTAAACTTATAGAAAAATCGACCTCTCCAGATATCAACATTCCAACTATTCCGTCCCATTTGTTATTAATTTTGTAACCCCATGAATTTGTCGTTTGAATATTTAATCTAGTATGATACATATACATAGGTATATGTTAATATGTTATTATATATACACAGTTATATATTATAGGAAAAAAATTAATAAATAAGATAATAAACGCAATATTATAGGTCATATAGTAGGTATAGGTACAATGGTACATAATACATAATAATATCTGCAACAATACTTTACGTGATGTTTAGTAAAATTTTCGTCAATGGATACATTATGGCAAAGCTAAATTTTTGCACAGAGTTCAATCGATCCAAATTAAACGTTTGTAAATATTTGACCAGTTCTTCACTAGATGGTCGTATACCCGTGCCATTTTTCTTAGCCAAAGCACCGTAAGGGTTTCCCTAAAATATTATGATAACTATATGATTTAACATAATTCTTTCTTTTCATCCGATTATAATTAAACAGTGTATATTAAGTCAAATTGCAACTGCACATTTGATTTAAATTATAATAATAACATATTAATAAAGTAAGTGAGTTACTCATTTTTACTGTCCAGGTTTCTTATTTGGATCTATCCTACAATATGCCTTCCTAAGAAAAAACGCCGTCATTTCCCTCCATGCCATTTTTAGAAAAATGACATTTTATGTTTAGTAGTTTTTGGTAGTTTTATTTTCATAAATATAATATTTTTCAAAGTAAAATACATAATTTCTTATGGAAATATACCTGATGAATGCAATGGAACTATTCAATTTTATTTTCAATTTTTCTTTCACCAAGATATCATTGTTTTGATATTTATACAAAGTAAGTTATTAATTGTACATATTTTTTTACTTGGCAAAAATGCCGCAATTCACATTGTATCCATTGCAAAAATTAAAACTGTGCGTAAAATATTCGCGACTAGGTACATCGATAACTGAATGAAAAATAATATGTGTCCAATGTATAATGACATCAACATTTTTAAACATTATCAATAATTTAAAACTGTAATTATACGGGCATTACGGCTTAATGGCAACCGGTTTCCTCAACAATATATATTATGCGGAAGTGCTAAGTAAAAACGCCGTAGTTTAAACAAAACTTAAGGAAATCATTCTAAGCAAACTGTGGTTACGGTGTTTTTGCTAAGCACCGATTATATTTTATTACTATTTCGGCAATATTGTTTTCTTATGAACATAAAATTCTGGATAAATAATCATAGTTACGGCATTTTCATTTAGGAAAAACATGTAAAACTATAAAGCTAGTTCTTAGCTGGTTTGCACGCATGCGGGGAAAAACAAAATAGCTTGTATTTCGCCACATGCTGGCAACGCATTGCGTGCAGAACAGTATGGTCAGTATATAAAACGCAGTAGCCCGCACTAACTAGGACATAGACGAAATACCTACAGTATTATCTCATTTTTTTTCGATTTTCAGCGTTTTTTCTTAGGACGGCAGAATAGGTATCTATCTCTCATCTTAACATTATATTTTCTTGATGGCATTAAACTATAGAACGTGTTACCTATATTTTAAGATCATGGATATGGTAAATATAACACTTAAAATTCTTGGATTTGTCATACGTAAAACTGCACTATTTAAGGCTGTTAGATGCCTCTGTATACTTTATTATACTATGATTTTGTTCGTTCTCTATTTGCGTACATGCCTGTAGTCAGGAAACCGTATTTAGTCAAAGACCAGGTAGGTACTTCTTGAACTTGTTCAATAAATGTTTAAACTGTATTGCTTTCAAAATGAACATTCATATCATGTATCTCTCGTCCTCACGATAATTACAATATAAGACGTCAGACCCTAAATATTCCTACACCTGCCTCTCGTGCTGTGATAAATCAGATTTGGACTTATCATATACTCAGTAGGTACTATATGGTTCACTGAACATTCCCTGCTAACTCTTTGCTGACATAACTTTTAAAGTCCTTTCTAGAAGCCAATCCCAATTATATGTAGGCACCAAGATATAATACTTCTTATGAGTTATGGGCAAAACCAAACTCTATATCATATGTACACAGAGCTGCAAATAATATTTTATCCTTGGGCCACCCATTGACCCATAAACCACTTTTACGTAACAATTATAATAATAATATAACATTTAATTTATTCGAACACTGTTCACACTATACACTATTATAATTTTTAAATACTATTTGATAAAATTTAAAATTATTGTGCTAACATTTGTTAACTTTGAAAAAAAAATGTTGATAAACCATTACACGTTATTACGTTAAGTGTATTTACGGGATTCTAGTCCTTTAGTTTTTCGCTCAAACTCCCCGAATGTCGAGTGAATGCATAACGTTAACACAACATAATGTCAAATGTGTAAATGAGGTGGTAAATTAAACTTTTTAAAAGATAATTAAACTACGCTGTCTTTTTCTACGAAGGTTCTAGTCACGGCGATAGTCTAAAAATTAATTTAGATTATTTAAAGTTTAAAGTTTTAAACACATTGGCACTTTGCACTTACATACCATAATCTCTATATTCTTAATTATAAAAAATAATCATATCATTATATTATTGACAACTTTTAAGATCATGTACAATTGATTATATATTTATATGTTATTCTATCATCCAATAACTCATTATCTAATTATTGTCAAGTTTGAGACTTTGGACCAACGTGAGAATTCCAAAACAACATATATTATAGATACTTATTACCATAGAACAATACAATAATATAACATGATTTTGCATTATTAATAAAAATAATAAGTATTGAAATTCAATAATATAATATGATGATGTGTTATCATCTTGAGAATCTAAAAACGTACGCACTTTCAACAATTTGATTTGTATCGAGAGAAAATCAAAAAAAATAAAACTATTTCTTAGTTATTGCTTAGAGTTAAAAAGGTGGGCAAGTGTGTGTCACTCTGCTGTACGGTAGGTTACAAGTGAGTCATTGTAACGGATTTTGTAAAATTTGAATTCAATGATATAATAATATCATTGTATCAGAAAAAAATTCAATCAGTCTATGATATTACTAATTATATTGGATGATATTATTGTGAATAAACTATAAAGTAATTTAAATCGTATGACCTATTTACGTGGAATCTTGTTTTAAATTTTCAATCCTTAGATATAAAAATTGAAAATTGTACACGTTTTTAACTTCAAAATAATTTTTAAATTTTAAATTTGATAAATCTTGTCAAAATTTGAACTTTAAATATTTATAAAAAAAAATGCCTACCTATGTATTTTTAATATTTTTCAACTGATATTGTAACAATATATCAGGTGCCTTGTATTACATTTTTACACTTTTTGGTCCAAAACTTAATTAATTGGTATTCATAGTAAAAAAATTAATAAAATTGTCCGTAAACAGCTGAAAACAAGTCAAAATATTTTGAAAATGTTATCAAATATAATAACTGATAAAATAAACATTCAGTGAAATTTTCATGTATCTACAGTTATTCGTATTTGAATTTCAACAAAATAAGAAGATCGCTACATGAAAAATCGAGTGAATATCCAATGTTGTAAAAATTTGAATTTCAAATGCTCATAAAAATTTAATTTGACTTTCTTATAGACATTTTTTTTTTTTTGATAAAGGTAGACAAACCTATAAATAATCTTGTGTTACATTTTCCAATCTTAGATTTAAAAAGAAAAAATTTTATGAATTCTTAACTCAAAATAATTTGCTAATTTTCGTGATTTTTCCATATTTATCAATTATAATGTATAGGTTACTTATAGATATTTTTACACAAAAAATTTAAATGTATTCTACTATTCTCTTCTGAAGAATATAGATTGTCTGAACTATATAACATAATTTATTTTTACATTCTTATTCAATGCGTAAGTTTATTGTATAAGTTATAACTTCATTGAATTTAAAACTATACTTACTATAGTAACAACGTTTAACGTTAAATTTCCTAAATTTGATCTTTTATCAAATTTCCATACTCGATTTCCCCATTTTCCAAAAGTTTTATTTACTACATCAATCATTAGCTTTCCTCTTGGTTCGAAAGCTGTACGATAAATATCAAAAATATGCCAATTAGTAATAATGCCATCCATCTCATTAGGATATGCTAATAAAATTTCACTGCTGATTGAGAGGTTAATTTTTTTTGCTGATAAAAAACTTTGAATATTATTATTTGATTTTTTGTTCATCACCATTAGCCAATGATAGCTAGCGTTCCATAACCAACTTTCTGAAAACTTAACATAAACATTAACATTTTTATAATAAAAGATGAATATTTTTTAAATGGTAATTTATTTATATAGGTGCATTTTAATAGATAGGTACTCATATTTAGCAAATTTTTCTGAATAAAATAGAATTAAAGGAATACTTTTATAATGATATTCGAATATATATATAATATAATGTAAGTCTGAAAATAAGGAATAAAAATTTCACACAAAATTTAAATCTTGGTTATTACCAAAATATAACTATAAGCTAATTAAAATGATATGCCTTATTTTTAGTAATTTTTGGGTCCCAAGTGTGTTGAATACATTTTCGGGAAACAATTTTTAACATTCAAAAAATGTATACCTAAGAATTTTGTTTTAGGTATAAAATATTAATTAATTATCCAAGGTTTTTATCAAACAAAAAGAATTCAACTTCCCACCTCATATTTTTATAACTATTATTTTGGAGAACTATTTTAATACTTAAACTTACAAGCCTGTGATATTATATGCTTACAAAATGATTTATTATTATTATACTTTTATAATTAAAATAAAAAATGCATTCTTTCTTAATTACATTTTTAAATTTAAATGGATATTACTTTTAATTTAAAAAAAAATATTGTTCATAAAACATAATACTTATTGTTATGAAAATAAATATACACTACCTAGTTTACCAGTTACCTTGAACAATGGATCATCATTACATGACCAATCTATGATTATTCCTAGTAAAGGAGAATTCACTGTTATTTTAAACAAATCATCCAAACTAAAAGCCCCATAAAAATCTTCTTTATTGCGGTGTGTGACCGCTATTTTTTTTTCATTGAATTTTTTCATATATCTGATTCGATCTAATGTATGATGGAAATTCAACAATGATAATTATTGTAACAATATATAATTATTAAATAATGTTTATGTGTTACCTGACAGTGACCAACACGTGTATAATATAGCAGTGTCTAGATTTCTGACCGTTAAAAATTGTTCCATTATTTCGTGTTGTGCATCACAATTATTGTCAGATTGACTCCCAGATATTATATATGTTGCCAAAAACGGCAATACTATGCTAATGTAATCCATGGGTCTAACACTATTTCCCTAATATCTGTTCTGAAAAGTTTTGGTTAAACGTATTTTTCACTTATGAATATTTACACAATATACATTTACGTCATTATATAATGACTGTATGAGTATAATTTGGGTGATATTATATAAAGGTAATTATTTTTGACAGGATTGTCATGAAAATTACATCAAAGAGAGTTTTAATGACCTGCACTTCTATGATGTTTGTTTTATATATTTTATGGTGAATTTCAAATAAAATATTCTGATGTGTAATGTCAAATTGAAATAAGTGGGTGTCGTGTCTCTCAAAACATTATTTAGGTAATTAATTAATAAACGTTGTGAATATTAATTTATATATCTGTGTATATACCTAAATGATTATGTATATATATATTTTAATAAATTATAATATTTTTTCTTGTAAAAACTCGTTATAATTTTTGATGTAATATACTTTATTAATTACAATAATTTTAAAATACATTGTTGATGCTACTAAAAGTAAAAAGATAATATGTAAGTATGAGACCATGTATACAACAAATATTATTTTATTTTTATAGTTGATTAAAATCAAATATATAAAACTATTCATTATGTCAGTGTATATTAATTAGTTTTCAATAAAATAATCACCTTGGATAGTTTAAGAATTTTATCAAAGAATTAACAGAAACTAAATCAAAGAGTTAAAAAAAAAATATATATCCTTTTAATATTTTGATATTATTATGACTTCTAGATTCTAGAATACACGTAGGACAATAATTAGCTATGTACATTTTTCAAGATATGGAATGCATATAACTAGTAACTACTAATAACTACTTATTTTTTTCCAATCTTAAGTTTTATTAACGTGGGATAAATAAAAAATTTCAATGCGCAGAAACGTTTGTAATTTCTTTCGATTTTTTTTTTTAACTTTTTGTGGAAATCATATTACAAGTACTAATCTCTACAGAAAATCTTAAATTCGTAATATACTTGCTATTATATTATGTTAATTTACAATATTTTCTTTTGAATAATTTTGATTTCTAAAATTTATTGATATCAGGGCCGCATTTAGGGGGGGGGGGCACTGGGTACAACTGCCCCGGGCGCCAGTATTTTAGGGGCGCCAAAATTTTGTGGACAGAAATGTCTTTACTTATGATTTTTTAAAATTGTATACTTTAAATTATTTTTATAACAGTATTATATAATATAATCTAGTATAATAGTATTGTATATATTATTATAGTATAATAATTATGCTGTTTGAAATTTATTATTTAAACAATCAATGTATTTATAGCAATATAGGCATATAGCTACAGCGATCGATAATTATTAATATACCTAGTTCCCAAATTTGTTGTGATTATCATTATGTCAATAGACATCAGTTATTTATAATAATACGGGCAATACCAATACGGCGTATTGATTTTATATTACATAGTTTTGTACTTATGATTAAAATAAAGGAAGTTCCAAAACAATGATCTTGAATATTATTCTATATTATAAACATCATTCATTTAAATAGGTAATATTATTTAATTATTTGCTATTAAATTTTGTGTTTATTATAATCATTATTTTTTGTAATTTCTACAAAATTAAGTAAGTAAGAATCAATTAAACTATAGGTATGTAGAGATTCAAAAATAATTAATGTTTAATAACTGGTAAGTTGACAAGTTGTTATGAAACAAATTTATGCAGGTCACTTTTTTGTCACTTTTATAAATAAATTCAGTCACTTTTTTTAAATAGCTTAAACCACTACCAGCCCTGTATATAGTTACATTAATTTTATAAAATACTATATACAATAAAATATAAAATATTTATTTGCATAGTTTTATATAATTTTATTTTATTTATCCATGAAGTACCTACTTAAATATGTTTAAAAAAAAAACAACTTAATGATACTAAATTATTAGCAAGGTTTGAGTGACATAAATTCCAATATATCTTTGCGGAGGGATCAAGCAATTACTAAACAATATTTTTTTAAAAAAGCACTCTTAAACAAATATTCTTTTCTTCGCTCAAAATCTAAAGGGTAATGAGGATCTACCTCACATATTTTCCGTGGGAGGAGCAATTTTTTTTCACCGGGGCTTGGGGGGCGCCAATTTTTTTTTTGCACCGGGGCGCAAAATGTCTGAATGCGGCACTGATTGATATACAATTGGTTTTTATTATTGTAACTAAACCAAATTACACACCAAAATACTAGTAAATAAACAAAAGTTTTGAACAGAAATAAAATAAGAAATAGTTAATTAGGTAGATATAAGCAGTTAGAAGAAAACTCATACACCAAATATTATTATTTATACATTTTAGTATTTTACCATTGTACATTTCTCCTTCTTTTTGATATTTACCGAGGGTATAGGTTCCTGTTTGAATACTTTTTACATACAATACAGTCAAATAGGGTAACTATATTGATTATTTATTTCGTGTTTAATTTTCATCATCAAAAACAAGAGCCGGTGGGTACCGCTATGATGTATAGAAGGTTTCCAATGTGATAATGCAATGTATGTGTTAAATTGTAATTCAATAGTATAAAACCATTATGTACAAAAAAACGATTTTGAGCAAAAACTGTCTGTAAGCCTACCTATATTACTAAGTATATTTTATAATATTATTCTTATAGAAGTATTATTCATTAGACATTATAGTAATACAGTAGGTCGAATTAATTTTTTTCGGAAAACATTGCATTGTGTGTACAAAATATAATAATATAGTTCAGAAGTTTCAAGTAGTTACCCACAAATAATATTTAAAACAAAATAAATAAAATCGTTGTTTTTTGTTTGTTTAAATATCTAATTTAGTCCAAATTTTAACTTAGAATATCAATAGAAAAAATTGTGTCTATATATCTTTAAATTTTTTGGACAGCCCATAAAATATCTTGGGAAGCATTTAAATAAGTGAATAACATGAGCAACTAATATTAAAATTAATTACGTTCTCTGTTAAAATTCTAACCATCACTGCAAAAAAAAAAAGAAAAAAGCTGGACAGGTGTCGCTCTGCTGTACAGTAGGTTATAAATGGGTCACTGTAATGGATGGTGTTAAATTTGAATTCAATGATATTGATATAGTATCATTGTATAGGAAAAACGATTCTGAGCGAATACAGTTAGTCAGCCTATGATATATTGATATTACTATGTATATTTGATGATGATATTGTGAATAAAGTAATTTATATATTATAACCTATTTACGTGGAACCTCGTTTTAAATTTCCAATCCTTAGCAATAAAAATTGAACATTTCATAAATTTTTAACTAAAAAATAGTTATGACATTTTAAATTTGATACATTTTGTCAACATTTTAACTTTAAACGCTTATAAAAAAAAAATTGTGCCTACATATTTTTAATATTTTTAAAGTGTTATTGTAACAATATACCAGGAGCCTAATTTTTGATTATAATATACCTAATCATAAACTTCTATTAAATAGGGTGTCAATCGTTATGAAGACTTACCTGCTGTTAGATCCAGAAGGACTGTAAGAACTAAAAAGTCTAGAACGAAGATTTAAACTCTGATTTTATATTCTGGACATTTTCAGAAACGGATTATAAATTATGATTAAATATATGATTATAAATTATGACTAAAATTGCTCATCAGTTGTTACGTCATCCAATTTATAGCTTATTATTAAAGGATTTGTTCAACTATACATCATTATAAATATTGTACAGTTTATAATAAGCATTCATACATGTGCGTATAGCCCATGTGTGTGTGATTTGATTTTATCTTTTCTATTTTACAGAGAAAAAAAAATTCAAATTTTGGTGTATCTTAATATTATAATATTTCGGCCAGGTTTTCATAAAAAAAAATCCCACTGTGCACCGCAACTCCGCATAACCCTTCAAAACAGCAAAATATTTAGATTTGTATATCCTAATTTTCTTTGGTCATAAATATCTAGTATTGTTTCCCAAATTTACAAATCATAGATTTTATTTAAACAATAAAAAAACTTTTAGTTTTGTATTCTTGATCAGTATAACTAAAAAACAAAATTTTAATAAATGATTATCGTACCCATATAATAATATGTTAAAAAATCTAGAAACTTTCAGATTTACTCAAACAACAAACATCTCGCTGCCATGTACATGAATGTTTAAAAAATCTACAATTCGTATCTGTGTCACATAGTTACCACTTCTTGTCCAGTTCTTGTCTTCATTACGAATAATTATTCATTCCTGTGGTCAACAATACGTTAAAACGTTTTTTTGTGTATAATTTATTAATTATTCTGCCTATATATTATCAGACAAATATGTCCGATATCAACATCACGTCCAAGAGTGAAATGATACAGCTGGTTTTCGCTGATCTACGAAGAAATATACCAAAACCTTTGGCTAAAAGCTGCAGGGATTTGAAAAGTTTACAGGTGCATAAAAGATATGTATCTTTGCCTAACATGGCCGTGATGGGTAAAAATTCCTCAGCCAAATCTAAAGTTTCGGCAGGTCACCAGTGATATACAGAGACCGGAATCGTCGGAAAAATCGTGATTCCAAGTTGTAATATATTATATATCTACCTTCTACATTAATAAACACATAAAATGATTTGGAACCAATAACGATCATACATCGGTGTATAAAATTAAAAACGCAATTTAAAATTATAAAATAAATTATTTACATAACTTAAATCAATATAAATCCAGACCACCTAGAAGGAATTCGATTGCATCATACCGCATCTAACAGCCACGTCAAAAGACAACACCCAAAATAATAATCATATACGGATGCAGATTACAGGAACGCAGTTTATAAATAGAATCAATACCAAAATATTATAATTCACATGCATGAACGCATCAATGATGCCCATATATGGAAATACAAAAGACAATCGGACTAAAATATATATATATAACTAGGTAATAAAAAATAATTGCACTATTCACATCATCTCACAGCAAATATCA